AAGGCTTTGCTGCATTCATTACATTTGTATGATTTGTCTCCAGTATGGATTCTCTTATGTTGAGTAAGCTTTGAGCGTTCAGCAAAGGCTTTGCTACATTCATTACATTTGTAAGGTTTCTCTCCAGTATGGATTCTTTTATGTTGAGTAAGCATTGAACCATGAGCAAAGGCTTTGTTGCATTCATCACATTTGTAAGGTTTCTCTCCAGTATGAATTCTCTGATGAGTTACAAGATTTGACTTGTGACTACAGACTTTGCCACACTCATTACATTTGTAAGGTTTCTTTCCAGCATGAATTCTCTGATGTATTTTAAGGCCTTCATAAAAGGTAAAAGCTTTGCCACACTCATTACAGTTGTAAGGTTTCTCTCCAGTATGGATTCTCTTATGTTGAGTGAGCGTTGAGTGTCGAGCAAAGGCTTTGCTGCATTCATTACATTTGTAAGGTTTCTCTCCAGTATGAATTCTGTTATGTTGAGTAAGGGTTGAATGTCTAACAAAGGCTTTGCTGCATTCATTACATTTGTAAGGTTTCTCTCCAGTATGTATTCTCTTATGTCGAGTAAGACTTGAGTATAGAGCAAAGACTTTGCTGCATTCATTACATTTGTGAAGTTTCTCTCCAGTATCCATTCTCTGATGACTCCTAAGGTTTGAATTTTGATGAAGGATTTTGCCATCTACATCACATTCATATGATTTCTCTCCTGTATGGATTTTCTGATGTCTAGGAAGGTTCAAGCACTTATTAAAAGCTTTGCAACACTCATTGCACTTGTAAGGTGGCTGTCCAGACTGAATTCTTTCATGTTTTGAAAAGTCTGAGGTTTTGCTAAAAGCCTTCCCACAGTTATTACATGTGTAAGACTTTTCTCTAGTATGTGTTTGCCCATATTGTGCAGGCAACAAAAGATATTTAAACACCTTCCTACATTTATTACTAATATTTTTAACACTGGGAGGAATTTGTTGAGGTTGTGAGACTGAGGAACCATGGTTGATAGACTTCTCAACTTGACTGCATTCACAAATTTTCTCCTCAGTTTGAAATCTCTGCAGTTCAGTCAGGTGTGCCTGCAAACCTGACTGAGTTCTGTTTTCCAAACACATTATATACTCATTTCTAGCATCACTTACGTTATTTTTCAGTTTTAAAAAATCGCCTATAAATAGCTCATTGTGCATGGAATATTGGTACATATTATTTCCTACAGAAAGACTCTGCTTTCGAGGAAAATTATCTGTGGACTTATTACCTTCATCTATCCTACAAGTGAGCTTTCCATTATGGATTAACGGAAGTCCTTTTTGATTTCTGGCATCATATCCCCACACACTCCCAAACTCATGCATATTTTCCAAGACTTCTTTGAGGTCAAAATCCTTGATGCCACGGCTTTCAGTTCTTTCCAATATCAGTAGATGGTGGAAGTCTCCTTCATTAATGTCCTCTCTCGGTGATAATTCCTTTATTGCAAATTCAGCAGGAAGAGCTCCTATTGAGTTGCAAGAGAGATGTTTTGTATTGAATTAGATGATTATACTAAAAGGAATCCTTATAATGAACAAAGTTAACAAATTTCTGAATCACTGTCTTCAAACACCATTGTAATACACAGATTTCTATATTTTTATTTTTATAATTTTTCCATATTAATATTTTCTCTCACCTTTGATAATAAATTTTCAAAACCTTACATACTATACATATTTTTTGGGCATATAACTGGATAATTCAACGATACTCCATAGTTAGGGAGTTGATCCAGATACTGGCTAGTATATAAGCATAGCCATAAAATCCTAATGGACATTGGAGGTTGTCTTCCATAATTCTTAATGTTTAGAATAAGGTGTGTTGATATGAGGCTAGAAAATGATACTAAAAGAAAACACATATGAAACATGATAAATCAACAGGCAATTTAATAAGTAACCACAATTATACAAAATAATAGTCTCTGACATTCTAAAGAATTCTTCCTAAGGAACTAAGGAAAGAATTTACATTCAAGAAGAAGCACACAATAGTAAAAAGGAACAATATGTTGAAAATCACTACATTTGAAACATCAGTTTCAGGTAAACACAAATCACTATAAAGATCAAAAATTAGAGGGGCCAGCCGAACGACCTAGTAGTGAAGTTTGGTGCACTCCATTTCAGCAGCCTGAGTTCTGTTTCCGGGCGTGGACCCACACCACTCACTGGCGGCAATGCTGTGGTGGCGACCCACATACAAGATAGAGGAAGACCGGCAAAGATGTTAGCTCAGGGTCAACTGTCTTCAAGGAAAAAGAGGAAGACTGGCAACAGATGTAAGCTCAGGACAAATGTTCCCGAGCAAAAATATGAGAAAAAGAAGGGCTACCCCGGTGGCCTAGTGGTTAAGCTCGGCACACTCCACTTCAGCCGACTGGGTTTGGTTCCTGGCCAAGGACCTGCACCACTTGTTAGTGACCATGCTGTGGCAGTGGTGTGCACACAAACTAGAAGAACAGTGGCAACAGATGTTAGCTCAGGGTGAATCTTCCCAAAGCAAAAAAAAAAAAAGAAAGAAAGAGGAAGATTGGTGACAGATGTTACCTTAGGGCAAATCTTCCTTAGCAAACAAGTAAACGAATAAATTATGGAAGACTGTCAGAAATGTCAACTACAATTTCATGCTTACAGTTATATAATAGCTAGTAAACAGATAAACTCTCTATGAAGTACCATTTAATTACCGAGTTAAGAGGTTCATAAAATGTGGATAGTGTATAGGATGTGGTTTCAAAATTTATTATCTAGGGGCCGGCCCAGTGGCGTAGAGGTTAAGTGCATGCGCTCCGCTACTGGCAGCCCGGGTTTGGATCCTGGGTACGCACTGACGCACCGCTTGTCAGGCCACGCTGTGGCGGTGTCCCACATAAAGTGGAGGAAGATGGGCACGGATGTTAGCATAGGGTCAGTCTTCCTCAGCAAAAAGAGGAGGATTGGCATGGATGTTAGCTCAGGGCTGATCTTCCTCACACACACAAAAAAGTAAGTTTATTATCTAAGGTGAGATAAAACAATATAGAAAAAATTACAGAAAGAAAACCTACAAGAGATAATGCAGTGCATGTAGCATGGGGAGGCGTGGGTCCTGTCGCAACTGGGGTGCCTAGGTGCTCAAAGTTAACATATAGAAAGGCACCAGTGTCATTTATTTGGATCAATAAAATACCTGAGAAAAGGCCCGGACTGGGATTTAGGAAAAGAGAGGAACTCTTTCAGCAAGAGGCATAATACTCATTCCGTAGGAACTACACTATGGGGATGAAGCAAACAAGAAAAAGATTAAAAAGGAAGACTGTGTGGTGTTATGGGAAGAATGCAAATTTACATCTATCACAACATTTCCTCTAAAAGTGATCAAACTGAATATGCCATAAGTTCCATTTTTAGGCATATACTAGAGAGTCATATATATATATATATTCCAGAAGACATGTACAAGAATGTTCTTAGTAAGACCCAAAAGCAAAAATCTGGAAAAGACCATCAAGAGAAGAATGGATGAATTTACTCTGCACAAACACATACGGATGCAATAAAACCCTCTCAAAGGTCCAGCAATGGAGGGTGACCAGGGGTACTGATGGTGATCTCTGACTGGCGAACACAAGAGGTTCTGTGGTGGAAAGAAACTTAGGAAGTTATTGTCAAGGTTTCAACTCTTTGGGGATGTGATTATATTTGGTAAAACATAACTCACGGACTATACTGTAAAGATTTAAAAATAGAAATTTATCAGTTTTGACACGTTGAGTTTGTTAGTCCAAGTGTCCTTGTTTGTTATATAAAAATAAGTCTCCTTTGATTTAATATTTTTTTTTTTTTTTTTCTTTTCCCCCAAAGCCCCAGCAGATAGTTGTATGTCGTAGTTGCACATCCTTCTAGTTGCTGTATGTGGGACTCGGCCTCAGCATGGCCGGAGAAGCAGTGCGTCGGTGAGCGCCCGGGATCCGAACCCGGGCTGCCAGCAGCGGAGCACGCGCACTTAACCGCTAAGCCACGGGGCCAGCCCTGATTTAATATTTTAATTATTTGAAATCATTTCTTTGGCTCTTAACATGACAATCCCAAAGACATAAGAGACAGCACGTGGCAAATGCTCTTACTATATTACTATATGTATTAGTAGACATATAGTTACTATCCTTATGAATTTATAGAAATTAATACACACTAACCTAAAAATAATAAATTCCAACTTCAAAAACATCATCAGAAAGCAGTAATCTTTATAAAGAGAATTACTAAATGCCCTAGAGGAAAGAATGGCTGGTAAGGAAAAAGGGTGTTAGTCACAACATTTAAGTGTAGAAAAAATTTTTGGCGGTACCATGGTGATGCTCGACAGAGGGCTATGTGCAGAGATGGGCTAAGCAAAATAAGTGTCCAATAACACTCAGAAGAAAAGGACAGCAACAGGATGTGTGTCAATAAGGACCAGGTGACTTTTTAGAGAATCCAAGTGAAAGGGAAGATGGGGAACAAAACAAACTTCATGGGTTAATTGAAATATGTAATTTCAAGAACTTAAATTGTCTGGGCAACAGTAGTCTCAGAAGCAGCAGTAATGAGTGAACAACAGAGTGTAAAAAAATTTCTATTTTCTACTACATAAAGGGGATATTGAAATATTAGATTAGTATACAAAGTTGTGCATGACAAATCTAGGCAGAGAGAACAATATTTTAGAATAAACTATTTGTAGCAAAAAATACAAAATGTCAGTGGAATTAAAATCAAATCCAAGCATTTTTCAGAAAACTATATATACTATGGAAAAAGCAATGTATCTTATATAAAAAGATTTGGAAAACCACTTGAATGGTTATTTCTGTAAGAACGTAACTTAATCAAAAAAGTTTGCAAAATATTAAAAATTCTGTTTTGGGGCTGACCTGGTGGTGCAGTGGTGAAGTGCACGGGCTCTGCTTTTGCAGCCTGGGGTTCGCAGGTTCGGATCCCAGGCACGTACTGACGCAACGCTTGACAAGCCATGCTGTGGTGGTGTCCCATATAAAGTAGAGGAAGATGGGCACGGATGTTAGCCCAGAGTCAATCTTCCTCAGCAAAAAAGAGGAGGATTGGCGTCAGATGTGAGCTCAGGGCTCATCTTCCTCACCAAAAAAAAAAAAAAAATTCTCAGTTTCAAAAATGCAATAGATTTAATTGAGGAAAGCATGTAAAAATAATGAGATACTACTATACACACATGAGAAAGGACAAAATCTAGAACACTGACAACAGCAAATAATGGCAATGATGCGGAGAAAGATGAACTCTTATTCGTTGCTGGTGCAAAGACAAAATGATACAGCAACATTGGAAGACACTTTGGAGCTTCTTACAAAACTGAACATATTCTAACATGATGTAGCAATCACACGCCTTGGTATTTACCCAAATGCGTGGAAAACTTATTTCCAATAAAAACTTGCACATGAATGTTTATAGCAGCTTCATCCATAACTGCCATAACTTGGAAGCAACCAAGATGTCCTTCAGAAGGTGAACAGAGAAATAAACTGAGGCACATTCAGATAATGGAAGTATTATCCAGCACTAAAAAGAAATGAGCTATCAAGCCATGAAGCAATATGGATGAACCTGAAATGCATATACATAAGTGGAACAAGAAAATCTGAAAGGGCTATATACTCTTTGATTCCAAGTATATGATATTTTGGAAAAGGTATATGAAAGTAGTGAAGAGATCTGGGGTTGCAGGGGTTAATAGGGAGGGAGAGATGAACAGGCAGAGCACAGAGGATTTTTAGGGCAATGAAATTAGTCTGTAACATACTATTATGTTAGATATGTGTCATTAAATGTTGGTCCAACCCACAGAATGTACAACACCAAGAGTGAACTCTAAGGTAAAGATGGACTTTGGGTGATAATGAGATGTCAGTGTAGGTTCATGAGTGGTAACAAATGTAGCACAATCGTGGGGGATGTTGATACTGGCGAAGGTCTGCATGTGTGGGGGTAGGAAATACATGAGAAATCTCCTTACCATTCACTCCACTTTGCTGTGAAACTAAAAGTGCTCAAAAAAATTGTCCACCAAAAAACCTCTCAACACCACTAAGCACTAATAATATGAAACAGAAGTAAAAATAATAAGACTATCTTTTCAAAAAATTCTGGAGGTTATACAGGTCTTGGAGAAACTAATACTGAGTCATAACAACTCAAGAAAGAAATCACATGAAGTATATAAAACAATATTCATTCCATGACCCCACAACTCAAAATTGCAGGAAAAAACAGAACACTAAGGGTATCATCAAAAATATTGAACTGATGAAACAAACAGAAAACAAGGTCAGTTATAACAATGAAGTTTGCAAAATGAAAGTATCAGTGACTTAAACAAAACAAAGTGCAGGAGACTTAAAAAATGTAGGCACCATTTCACTTCATAAAATCCTTCAGTAAGATGTGTCAAAAGCATATTTGGTGAAGGTGAATGAAACAGAGCACACACAGGGGATAAACAGCGTGGCGTGAACAGTAGTTTACTCAAGAGTCTCACAGAAATAAGGTTGTGAACTCGGACAGTGTTCTCCTTAGGTTAAGCTCCTACACCATTTTTTTTATTGCCGGCTCAGAGGAGATGATCATAGTATGTCTGAACAAAACTGCCATACCACCCTTGGGAGACACTGTTCAACTCCTCAAAACCAGGACAAATGGAAACACTTATCAGTCAGGCTCTCCTAATACTTTCCACCTCAGGATCCTGGGACATGCTGGCCACTATCCACTGGCTTCCAGAGGCACTTCTGTAAGTAGCAGGATGATGTTCTAACATTATTAATCAGTGTTCTCCTTCAAGAATTTTCTGTTACCCAGTAAACACCTTCCACGGGAGAGTCGACAAAAAGTCATTAATCACCTAAAGATGACTTATCGCAAGAGAAAAAGAGGATAAAACTTCAGACCCATGGAATATGTATTTCAAAAGCAAGTTTCAGAGGCAAAATCTAGGAGAATAAGAAATCAGGAAGACCAAAGTCTTTCTATGTTTCCTGACAAACAGAGCAGGAAGAGGGAGAAAAATATGGGGTATGGGAGCAACAGAAGAGTGTCGGATATTGGGGGGGTTCTTGAGAAGGGGCTGTGCACTGTGCATATAGGCTATGGCATGAGTGCCTGAAAGACTGAGATATACTCCCACGTAGCAATGGGGACCAAAGAGAAGATCTCAGTGTCTAGTCTTTACGTGCCTGATCAGTGACAACGTCAAACAATCTCAAATAAAAACATCTCTTTAACAATCTCAAATCCCATTCCTCTTTACACACGTGTGGCAAAAAGAGAACTGAAGAGATGGCTGAGGGGCCTGAACAGGCAGGCAGGGCTTGACACAGCCCAGGGAGTTTCATGGAACCCCAGAGACAATGGAAGAGCCGCTATTTTCTTTGTCTATCTCCTGAGAAGTTCCCCCAAGGATATAAAACGTGAATGGAAAGTGCATAGTTCCTGGGGTCCGGACTACAAAGGCCTCAGCCTTGATCTCTATGGACTGAGAACCAAGAGAGATGAAGGGGAAAGAAGACTCCATAGAGACAGCCAACTTGGCCTCCCTCAAACCAAGGGACCAAAGTGGTGAAAGGAGCCAGATCATAGTGTATTGTATGTCATCATAAAGTTTTCCCCTGCCTATGCGTGAGTTGGAGCATCATGGTAGAGTGCGAGTTTAAACATTTACACGTTTCAATAGCAGTGCTAAGTGTGTGTGTAGCTGGTGGGGTGAAATGTCTTTTGAGAGCTCACAAGAAATAAACTTTTATTTTCCCACAGATCTTTCTCCATTGAGGAGTTTCTCAAACAATATTTAATCAAGCACCTTACTCTGAGTCTATCTATCTGAGCTCTTGTATTCACATCTCCACATATGCCAATCCGTCTGCATTTTTTCCTACTTTTCCTTCACTCTCCACAGGCCAGGGCTGTTTCCCTTGCTTGAAAATGGAGAAAATATTTTACTCAAGGAGATTTCAATTTACAAAGAAAAACAGAACATATGATATGATATGTTTTTTCAGAACACATTCCGAGCTCTTTGTTCAGCTAAGAATAGAGGACATTACAGATGGGTCTAGAAAAGTATTTCAAAGATCAGTCAACTGACGGCCTCCTGAATGCTAAGGCGTTATTTTAAGTATGGAGGCATCTGGGGCTGGCCCGGTGGCATAGTGGTTAATTCTGGCACACTCTGCTTGGTGGCCCAGGATCATGCGTTTGGATCCCAGGCGCAGACCTACACCACTTGATGGCCATGCTGTGCCAGTGACCCACATGGAAAAAGGGGAAGATTGCCACAGATGTTAACTCAGGGCTAATCTTCCTCAAGCAACAAGAAAAAAAAAGAGAAGGACTGACAACAGATGTCAGAGTGAATCTTCTACAGGAAAAAAAGAGAAAAAAAAAAAAGAAGTATGCAGGCATCTAGCTTTCTCCCAAGAACTACTGAACCAAAAACACAAGAGTAAAATCACAGAATTAGATATTTTTAAAAATCTGCCATAAGGTTCTCTGACTACTACTGTTCTGCAACCACCACTAATCAAGCAAAATATGCGCAGAACTTCTGGAGAAAGGGAAAGTTAGAGTCCATGTGTCATATTATGAATCCTTTCCGATTCAAAACAGCTTCTATCGCTTCAAATCCCTTCAAACAGCGATTTGAAAATCAGACTGGCAAATCCAGGGCTCCCAAGAGACTTACAAGGGAAAACGCAAAGATATACAAAAGCAGTTACCAACTTCAGAAGGGAAGTTATCCTCACCCACGGAGAGCAGGTTCCTGTAGTTCTCCAACATCACGTCCCTGTACAAGGCCCTCTGAGCAGGGTCCAGGCATTCCCACTCCTCCCGAGAGAATTCTATGGCCACATCCCTGAAAGTTAATTGTCCCTGAAAGGAAAGCACATTTCACCATGTCAAGAGAGACAGAGGTCTTATTTTGACACAAGATGGGACAAGCAGATACGTGTAAGGATTGACTTGGCTGGAGCGAGTGTTCTCAGTGATCCACGTAAGAAAATTTTGAGCAAGTTATTTCTCTAATTTTCATGTAACTGAGGTGAAATTCACATAAAAATGTTAGCTGTTTTAAACTACAATTCAGTGGCATTTAGTACACTCACAATGTTGTACAAACAACACCTCTATCTAGTTCAAATACCTCTTCATCATCCCAAAGGAAATCCATTACCCACTAAGCAGTTGCTTCCCACTCCCCTCTCCCCCCAGTCCCTGGTAATCACTAATATGCTTTCTGTCTCTATGGATTCAGCTATTTTAGATATTTTCATATCACTGGAATGGTATGAATGTGTGACCTTTCGTGTCCAGCTTCTTTCACTGAGAATAATAGTTTTGTTTCATCCATGGTGTAGTATGTACCAGGACTACATTCCTTTTTCATGGCTCAATAATTTCATTGTATGACTAGACCACGTTTTATGTATTCAATCATCTTTTCATGGACATTTGAGTTGTAACCACATTTTGGCTAATGTTAATCGTGTTGCTAAGAACATGTGTTTGAATCTCTGTTTTCAATTCTTTTGCCTATGTACCTAGAAGTGGAATTACTGGGTTACACGGTTTAATTTTTTAAGGACCTGTCACACTGTATTCCACAGTAGTGACACCATTTTCCAGCAACGTGTCAGGATTCTAATTTCTCCACATCTTTACCAACACTTGCCATTTTCTCTTTTAGTGTATTCATCGTAGTGCTTGTGAAATAGTATTTCACTGTGGTTTTGATTTTGCATTTTCCTGATGACTAATTTTATTGACCATCTCTTCATGTGCTTGTTGGCCATTGTACATCTTTTCTGGACAAATTTCAAGTCCTTTGACCATTTTTGAATTGAGCTATTTGAATTCTGGTTGAGTTGCAGGAGTTTTTCATATATTCTAGATACTAGACCCCAAGCAGATCTGTGATTTGCAAACATTTTCTCCCATTTGGTAGACTGTGTTTCACTTACGTGATAGTGCCCTTCAATGCACATAACTTTTAGTTTTGATGGAGACCAATTTATCTATTTTGTCTTTCTCTCTTTGCCTTTGGTGTCATATATAAAAGTCCACTACGAAATCCAAGGTCATTCAAGATTTATCCTTATGTTTTCATCAGAGCAATATAGTTTTAGGTCTTACATTTAGTCTTTGGTTCATTTTGAATTAATTTTTTTATAATGGGGAAAAGTAGAGGTTCAATTTCATTCTCTTTCACGTGGATAAGCAGTTGTCTCAGCACCTCTTAAGAGACTAGTCTTTTCTCATTGAAAGTTTTCAGCACCCTTGTAAAAAGAAATAGGGGTTTACTTGTGGACTCACAGCTCTATTGCTCTGACTTATATTTCTATCCTCATGCTGGAACCACAGTTTTGATTACTCTAGATTTGTAGGAAAGTTTGACATTCGGAATTTTGGTCCTCCAACTCTGTTCTTCTTCTTCACCATTATTTTGGTTATTTGGGGTCCTTACCAATTCAATGTGAATTCTAAAATTGGGTCTCCTATTTGTACAAAAAAGGCTGTTGGGATTTCGGTGGGTATTCCACTGAATCTTGATAGCACTTTGAAGAGTACTGTCAGCTAAATGACACTAAGTCAACATTTTAGGTAGGACCCTTCAGAGACAGAGAAGATTAGCAAATCCAATACATGGCAATTTAGGAATGAGCAAACAGAATAGTCAACTAAGAATGTGACTTTTACCTTGGAAAGAGCCATTCCACCTTTCTGTCCTCTTCCTCTGAGATTCTCAGATTAGATTATTCTGTATGACAAAAATATGTTATTCAATGCTTAGAATCAACACACCCCCTTCCACTGCCACAAGTATACACATAGGCAGAACCTCAGTTCAGGAGACAGATGGCCCTTTGCTGCCCACTGTTAACAGGAGGGATGCTCGGACAATAAACTCCATACAGAGACAAATAAGTGAGTTTCTCACCCATTTCTCTACTAAGTCCGACCCTCCTACTGAAACCCACACACTCGGCTGTAACTGCATTGTCCTTTGTCCATTTGGCATGAAGCATAAGGAAACTGCCTCATCCAAAATGTTGGCTCCTCCCAAGGCAGCCAGCATCCAACGAATGGTTGATGCTGGATGTGGAAGTCTGTCCCTTCCCTCAATTTGGACACTCTGAAGGGCTACTCAACTCCAGAGCTCCCTGCGGTAGCAATACTGAGAAGTTGAGATTTTTGTCCTGAGGGTGATGGGAAACCATTAGAGGGTTTATTGCCAGATGACACAATCAAACTTAAGATTTACCCATGAAACACAGAGAGGGAGAGAGTGAAGCTGAAAGAGAGGTATGCCTCTGTCCCTGAGCTTCTGCCCATGCCTCTTTCTTAGTGGTTTTCATTATTTTTGGAGGACTGGGACACACTGGAAATTCTAACTGGGCAACCTGAACTAGAAAACTGTCAAATGCAGACAGACACCCAATACTGAAAATGATTTCAGGGATCCCATTTGCTCAGACTCAGAATTCCTGGTCTACTCTATCATCTCCATGTTACAGGTGGGTGCACTGAAGCTCAGAGGGGGAGAAAGTTTACCAAGTTACCCTGGAGAGGTCTAAATTCAATGAGCAGAACCGGTGTTAGTAGTGGCCTGGAGAGGGCAGTAGAAAAGGTCTGTCCTAATTCCAGATTACATTTCACATTCCTGAGCAAGAAAAGATTCTCTTTCATGGCTTTAATCAAACCCAAGTATTTAATTCCTCTTTTCCAGAAAAGTATTTTTAAAATGAATTAACAAATAGTTATTAGTCTTGGAAAACATGAAAGAGGGGCACTGGGAGATGGGCTCTGAGCAATCTGTTCATCATGGACACATGGGCACTACTGGAACAACGATTCACGTCAATCCAGCCCATCCTTCAACAACTGCACAGAAAGGACAAAGGGGACTTGAGGGGAACATCTACGTAGTTGGGGACTTCAGCTCAGAAGTCAATACTTTAACAGATCGCTTTATGGAAGACATAAATTGTTGACTTTTAAACTAACTGGTTAAACTAGGTTTTTATTGTTAAAAGACTACCAACATCCTTACCAGATGCACAGAGAAATACTATAGTTATTTACAGACATCAAAGAATAGTTCCAATATATGACAGAGTAGAAGCCATAGAAACCTCATTCTCTGAACAATAAAATTAACAAGGAAAATAATTTGGAAATTAAAAAATACGTTAAAACAAGTGTGAAGACAGATCAAATTTAGAAAAGAATGACATAAGCCACAGGGATAGAAAGTCCTCCCCCATTTCTTGGAAGGGAAGAGGGTGATGTGGAACTGACTGAGCTAATAAGTCTCTGCCCTCAGGGTGAATAGGGGCTGCAAATGAAATTATCTTTTGACGCAATAATCAGAAAATGCAGATGCCTCATAAACCTGGTTTTGTAACTCTCATTCTCTTCTGCATAATTTTAGCAGTTCAACAAATCTTCAATTAGATTATAAAGCACCAAGTCAGGACTCTTTCACAACTTAATATCCCATATCCAATCAAAATACTCGCCCGGGTTTGGGTCCGTAACTTTCTCCACCGCTGTGTGTTTTGCTCTCTGTATTTGTGTCTCTGTGTCCTTCTGGTTCTCTCCTCTCCTGTGTCCATTTCTGTGTTTCTCCCTCTCTGTTTCTCCTCATCCTTTTGTTCCCCTCCCTCTCTGTTCCTCCTCCTACAGTGTGTTGGCTCCACTCTCTTGCAACCTCTGTTTCCAATCCCCGCGTTCTTTCTCCCTAAACTTTCTGGTGGCCTCTAACTCCATATCTTTCTGCCTCTTTCTCCCCATCTCTGTTCCCCTCTGCTCTCCCTGGAGGGGGGCGAAGGGCATGTACCCAACTCGTGAGTGAGGACTTGACCACCCGGTTGCGGGGGGCGAGGGGAGAGGAGGGGAGTGGGGCATCCGAGAAAGGCTCCGAGCAGGAACACGACGAGGCGGGCGGTCGGTGTCTACGCGGACCGAAGGCAGAAAGGTCGGGCGGGGACCTGCCTCAGAGCGTCCGGAAACGGACGCGGGCTCCCGGACCGCACGGAGCAGCAGGACTCGGGACGTCTATGGCGACGCCACGAGGGGCGAAAGGGATGAACTCACAGTGAGAGGGACGAGCGGGTTCAGGGATTTTAACTCAGGGGGCGACGCCGCAACCCGGGTGTGAGGGGCGGGGCCTCAGGACCGGGAAGCGCAGGTACGAAGCAGAAACACACACACACTCACCCGAGGGTGCCGGTTGCTCCGCGTGACCCGCTTCCGTCTGCAGGAAGCCGCGCATGCGCGTGCGTATCGGGGCGGGGCCGACGTGACGGGGCGTGCACAGAGGTCGGGTGGGGCTCGGTCGACGTAGGGGCGGGGCCTGGGCGCGGTGCCTGGCGCTCTCCTCCGCCCCTCAGGTTTCCCTGTGTGTTTCTCCTCACGCCCAACAGACCCTAGCCCTCAGTATTTGGGTTCTTTTAAATCTTGATGGGGCCAGGCCCTGGGCTGTGGGGATGGAGGGCTGAGACCTTGTGTTAAAAAACAAAATTTTCCTCTTAAATGGATAGAAATTAACTTTTCGTTCTTTTAATTTGAATGGTTATACTAATCCACACCTCTTCAGATGAATTAATAATCCAGATACGTTTGACAGGTCTTGGAGAGCAACTGGTATTTCCTGAAGTCATTAATTACTCAATAGTATTGTAATTTCAATCTTTTTAATTTTTTCTTCTCAGTTATTTGGAACAGTTTTAACTTGAAAATTAAATTAGGTAGATCTGGTATTTTAACCTTTTTTTTTTCCTGTTTCCTAATATTTTATGTCATGTGCAGATAATGAGGCTGGTGAAAGGTGGACTCTTTGGGAAATATTTGGCTTTGTGTTTCACTAATGAAATATCAATTTTGAAATATTTCCAGAGATATGTGATAAGGATGTCTATTCTCTTAGTGAAGAATAAATGCAAATAGTATTACTAGTTTTTCACATTTGCAACAGCATCATTTACATACGTAATAATTTTTAATTTAAAATATGTGAGTTACTAGCTCCTTTTCTGTTCCCCATGGAAATTCTGAAGGTGGCGCTGACTGGATTTTTATTGACCAGATTCACACTGTACATGCTCCAGAATTTTCTCAAAGGTTATTTTATTGAAAATAAACAGCACTCTTCCATTTTCCTCAGAACTAAGACTAGTTGCTCAATCTTTTAATGTTTTTTTCCCTCTATTATTTTACTGAAGTTTTATTTATTTATTTTTTTAATAATTAAATGCTTGGACTCAGATTGAAACTTTGGAAGATAAATTTCTCTTGGCGAAGAGAACAGAAGCAACCCTTCTGCTGTCCCTCTGTCTCCCCAGGCTCCCTGGCTGAGCTCACTTCCCCTGAGCTCTGGTCACTCCATGCAGACCGACTTTGAAGTGGATCTCCATGAAGGAGCGGGGACTCTACACCATTTGGAGTAAAGAGGTGCTGATATCTGAACTCTCCATCTAGATTTTCTTCCGTCACCTTGCCTTAGATGGGGGCCCCTTATCCACAAGTTTTGCAAATATTCTCCTCTGGTAATAACACATAACATGTGCTTGGTAATTTTCCTGACCAGCTGAAGTGATTTCTCTTCAAGTTGACAAGAAACTTCTTGGTTGGAGGCTCCCATGCTCCGCAACAGAAGCTGAGCTCATAAGATGGTGTCTGAGTAAATAAGGAACTAGCCAACACCTTATTGGCTCCCCTTTTCCTGGCTTGGAATTATATCTGGTAAGAGATGAGGGGTGAAAAATGTGGGATTGCATTTTAGTCTAAATTCCTCTACTTATATTTTTATTAATATTGTGATAATTAATTAAGGGAAATTGCATTTAAAATGGAGTCAGGAGGCCAGAAGGGGAAGCTCCCATGCAGTGCCATCTGAAGTCAATAACAGGAAAGATAGTCAATTACAGACCCAGTCAGAAAGACGTCATCAACAGGAAGATAGTGAATTACAGATTCCAGCAGAAGTCATCAACAAGAAAGAATCATTAATTACAGGATGAAATGTACATTACATCCCAAACAGAAATCGACTACCCCAGCAACTTGGCCCATGAGAAACCATCACCGCCCTGAACTCTTGCTTTGTGCCAATGGACTTCGATTCAAAACTACTCCTCCCAATTTCCACCTTTTTCTCTATAAAATAACCTTCCCATCTCATTTGTTGAATTTACCTGTGGATCACCACAGCCTGCACAATCTAAATTCCAATTCTTTAGCAACTCCTGAATAATCTTGTTTTCCTGGTAAAATAACTGGTTTTTTTATTTTTGTGGTTCATATATATGGTACCTGAAGTAGGATCCGAAGGAGGTGACGTGCCGGGAGACAGCAACTCCTGGAATCTAGAGAAGTACCCCCATCAAGCCCTTTGTGCTCTTTGCTTCTATGAGTTACTGTCTACTTTCAGTTTGGTGAGTCTTCTCTTGTACTTTGTGCTGTGCCCCCATTGTGCTCTGAACTTTTTAACTTGATTCAGGATCAGGAGAGGCATTATCCCCTCCAAAAAGAGACTTTGCCCTCCTGGTTGAAAGCTCTGTACTTGGGTTCAAGAAGTCATCCTTGGGCCGGCCCCGTGGCATAGCGGGTAAGTGCGCGCGCTCCGCTACTGGCGGCTCGGGTTTGGATCCCGGCCCGCACCAATGCACCGCTTCTCCGGCCATGCTGAGGCCGTGTCCCACATACAGCAACTAGAAGGATGTGCAACTATGACATACAACTATCTACTGGGGCTTTGGGGAAAAAAAAAGGAGGAGGATTGGCAATAGATGTTAGCTCAGAGCCGGTGTTCCTCAGCAAAAAGAGGAGGATTAGCATGGACGTTAGCTCAGGGCTGATCTTCCTCACAAAAAAATAAATAAATGTTAAAAAAAAAAGAAGTCATCCTTGGTGAGTACTCAGTTGTTTTCTGAAGGTAGCAAAGTTCCTGCTGGGGCTTGTGCTTGCTAAAATCCAGGAGTTTTCTTTGGTTTTCACATTCCCCTTGGAAATCAGGGCTGGGAATCCAGCAACATTCTTTTCAGATTCCTTCAAGGATCAGGGATTGGATTCTAGTAACTTTCTTGGGTTTCAGAGGAGATTTCAGAAATGAGATCCCAGTCATCTAAATGTTCTGAGGGAAAACCTTCTTTAGGGACCCTGGTTGTTTGAGAATTTGGGGCCCACTACATATACATTTTTAACTATGTAGGCCAAACTGACCAAGAGTAGTCTGAAATTACAATGGCCATCATATGGAACTTTAAATCTGCCCAAACTCATTTTTCTTAAAACCAAATTGGGGAAGACCATGGCTCTAAAATGAAGCAAAGTGAATGGTATGTTTATTTTAATTGGGACCTTGAGGCTTCCAAATGTGCACAAGATTCTAAAACTGCCTCACTACAAGGCACCATATTTTAATTACCAAAAACAACTAAAAAGCTGAGGGAAGACAAAATGGCTTCTCAGACTTCTCTTTCCCTTCTCTTGTTTTTTTTTTTTTTCCATGTTATGCTCAGGACCCACCTCTGATGCCCTCTTCCTCCTTCCCTTCTGTATCACCTCTAGTGCTGAAACTTTGTCCATCTGAGCAAGTAACCTTATCTTAGTTCATCTTCCAAAAATGCAATTTGGATCCAACTATTCCTTTGAAGCTTGTATCTGAGACGTGGCTGAAATTTTTAAAACAAAAGCTATAAGGTCTCTGTGTTTATGTATATATTATATATATCTATGTGTATATATGATATTTTTCTACCTCTGGATGTTAAGATTGATTTGTAGAAGAGCTTTATTTAATTGGTTTGAAATTACATGCTTATAGATTAAGTATTCCTAAACCTCAGAAATGCAATGGAAATTAACTCAAACTTTTTTAAGTTTATGTGATCTAGGGTAAATTTTTAGTACATAAAAGCTAGCTTAAGGTTGTTGGATTAATTGAAACAGGCATGTCTTTAAAGTTATCAATGCTGAATATAGTGCAGACAATATAACTTTCATTCCATATGGGTTTATTAAGCTCATTTTATCTTTATCAGCAAAAAAGGAACTTAAAATGATGTTTGCCTATTTAATGTCAAATTGTAGGATGATTGTCAAAAGCAAGTAAGTTAAATAACTGCAAATAAGATCAAAATTTATACTAAGTTAAACTAAATATAGATGGTCATTGAATATCTAAATCATTTCCAAATAAGATGAAGATAAATTATTGAACATAGGTTTATCTACTTTTGGCTTCCTATTGCAGAGAAGCTGAAGATATTTGAATCTATTAGTGAACATGTTTTATGCCACGCTGAGAAATTTACAATGAGAAAGGCATTCACTTCTAGAAATTTATAAAAGGGATATATAATTTGGCCAAGTTGCAAAATGCTAATATAGTTCACAATTGCTTACTTCTTAGGTTTTCAGTAGGAATTAAGGATTCTGAGGGTTAAGAATTCTAATCAATATATGTAATAATCAGGGAAACATCTCTCTATCCAAGGAAAGTAGGATATTTTGATAAAAGAAGGTATAAGGATTGGAAATGCATTTTGATGAGGGAAAAGAAAGTAATTTTGTCCTAAAGAGATGGTAGGTATTTCTGAATGGGAAAGAGGAAAACATAGGAGAAAATATACATGAAAAAAGTGTAGGAGGTTTGTTGCAAGGAATCTTGGGAAAGGATTTTTTTTTTTTCGTGAGGAAGATTTGCCCTGAGCTAATATCCGTGCCAATCTTCCTCTATTTTGTATGTGGTTCACTGCCACAACATGGCCACCAAGTGGTGTATGTCCATGCCTGGGATCCGAACCCACGAACCCGGGCTGCCAAAGTGGAGCTCACCAAACTTAACAGCTAGGCCATGGGGCCAGTCCTGGGAAAAGAATTTTAATATGTGTTAAAGCTGCCTAAGATGAAAATAAATTTTTCTAATGAGTTTTAATACCTAAATAAGCTGTTGCAAAATTAAAATGTTTTCTTTCTTTTCTATTGAAAGAACTAAGTTTTCTTAGGCTATTGGTCTGCTTTTAATGACAGATTGTGAAACCTTCTTTACCTTTAAGTAACATATGTAGAAAGCAGAGATTGTGTTTTATCAAAATAATTTCCTGTATTGTTTCTGTGGTTCTTTTTTTTTTTTGTGAGGAAGATCAGCCCTGAGCTAACATCCATGCCAATCCTCCTCTTTTTGCTGAGGAAGACTGGCCCTGAGCTAATATCCGTGCCCATCTTCCTCCACTTTATGTGGGATGCTGCCACAACATGGCCTGACAAGTGGCGCGTCAGTGCGCGCCCCGTATCTGAAACTGGGCTGCCAGCGGCAGAGTGTGCACACTTAACTGCTATGCCAAGGGGCAGGCCCCGTTTCTGTCCTTCTTTACTTAAGAGAACTGAGTCTTCTTACTATTAAAGGATTTAAGTTTTCCTTAAA